ATTATATATAATATATATATCTTAACATCAGGTGTATATACACCTCAAAAGACATATGTAGACCTAAACGTAATGCACTCTGCTGCTCCTGCTGCTGCTGTTGCTGCTGCTGCAGGTGGCAGCTTCGTTCCCTGTGCATAGCCCGTTGCTGCTACCCGCCGCAGCTGCTGGAGCCGCTGCAACAACAGCAGCAGCAACTGCAGCAACTGCAGCAGCATCGTCTAGTGATGCTGCTGCTGTTCTTTTACTGTCTCCTCATAGCGAGGTGTCTCTGCCTTCAGCAGCAGACAGCCCCGTAGCTTTTGAGTTGAAGAGGGCCCCCCTGGAGGAGGAGGCCCCTAGAGAAGCCAGCAGCAGCAGCAGCAGCAGCAGCAGCAACAGCAGCAGCAGAAGCAGCAGCAGCAACTGCAGCAGCAACAGAGGAGGCCTCTTTAGCTGGCTCACTCGAACCTTCTGGGGAGTTACGAACGACTAATATCCCGCAGCAGCAGCTTCTACCTGCCAGCAGCAGCAGCAGCTGTTGCTGCAGCTCCTGCTAATGCTGCTACAGCAGCAGCAGCTCCTGCTGCTGCCGCTGTCAACAGCAGCTCCTGCTGCTGCTGCTACAGCAGCAGCAGCTCCTGCTGCTGCTGTAGCATATTTCAAGAGGAGCGGTTTATAAAGGCTCCGCCAACTGTGAACAAATATTTATTTGTCAATCCCTTTACTACTTTGCTGCTGCTGCTGCTGCTGCTGCTGCTGCTGCTGCTTAGGAGACAACAGATTGAAAGACGGACAATTTCCCTCGCCTTCTCAACGCCAAGAAGCACCTCAGCAGTTGCTGCTCCTGCGTTTGCTGCTGCTGTTGCTCTTGCTGCTGCTGCCGTTGCTCTTGGTGCTGCTGCTGTTGCTCTTGCTGCTGCTGCTGTTGCCCTTGCTGCTGCTGCTGCTGCTGCTGCTGCTGGCTTCGAACAGAGCGTTGCGCATCGCGGCCCTTGCGAGTGTTTGCATCAGCAGCAACTTGTTGCTTCTGCTGCTGCTCTCTGGTGGCCTGCTTACCTGTGGTTGCGGCTGCTGCTGTTGCCGCTGCTGCTGCTGCTGCTTCTGCTGGTGCTGCTTCTGCTGCTTTTGTTGCTGCTGCTGGCGTATGGCTTGCTGCACATCTGGGGGAAGCTTAGAAAGGAGGTTTGCTGCTTCCTTTGCTGCTGGGCCCGTCAGCGGCAGCAGCGAAGCAGACAGAGACACCACACGCCATCCTAAGCCCTCCAACAACCTGCAGCAACAGCAGCAGCAGCAGCAGCAGCAGCAGCAGCAGCAGTAAACTCAGCAAGAGCAGCAGATGCAGGGCTGCACAGATGAATAGAAAGCAAAAAATCTGCTGCCCTGTTGCTTCTGCTGCTCCTGTTGCTGCGGAGCCAAGCCTACACCCCTACAAGACGCTGCTTCAGCAGCAGCAGCAGCAACAGCAGCAACAGCAGCAACAGCAGCAACAGCACTAGCACTTGCCTGTTTTTTAATTGAGCTGAAGGGGAGAGAGTCGGCGGCTGACTCAGATCTGCTGTTGGCTTCCACCTGCTGCTGCTCTCAATCTGCAGCGCCAGGCCACGAGCAGCTTGCTGCTGCTGCTGCTGCTGCTGCTGCTGTTGCTGCTGCTGCTGCGGCAGCTGCAAAGAGATTGCAATATCTGGGGAAATACCCTCAGGCGTCCGCGGCTGCAGCTCTGCTTGAAGACCCAGCTGCAGCAAAAGCAGCAGCAAAAACAGCAGCAGCAACAGCAACAAATCGAGCAGCAGCAACAACAACACGGCCAGCAGCAGCAACAGCAGCAGGAATTGCTGCTCTGTAGGCGAATCGCTTGACGTAGAGCTCCACAGTAGCGGCAGCAGTTTAGGGTTTAGGGTTTAGGTTTTACCTGCTGCAGCAACGCAGCAGCTCGCCTCTGCCTATCGGAGACGCAAAACGTTTGCTGCGCCCCACAGGCAGCAGCAAGCAGCTGCTGCAGCCAGCTGCGGGGCCAGCAGCAGCAACCATCAGTCAAATGCTGCAGCAACTCAGCTCCAGCACCTCTACCCGCTGCTGATTCTGTTGCTGCTGTTGTTGTTGCTGCTGCTGCTGTAGCAGAACTCTCTAAAGGCCAGCCCTCCGAAGCCTTCTGCTGCTGCTGCTGCTGCTGCTGCTCCTGTTGCTCTTGCTGCTGCTGCTGCTCCTGTTGCTCTTGCTGCTGCTGCTGCTCCTGTTGTTGTTGCTGCTGCTGCTGCTTCTGCTGCTGCTGTCTGTGTAGGTAGCGAGCCAAGAGGGCCTCGTAGAGGTGCACGGCAGCTGCTGCTGGGCGCTGCTGCTGGTCATACGCCTGCAGCAGCAGCAGCAGCAACAGCAGCAGCAACAGCAGCAGCAGCAGCAGCAGCAACAATCCTGATGGCGTCCATAGAAGAAGAGATCTCAGCAAGGTTAAACTAAAGAAGCAGAGAGTTCAAACGGCAGGCAAAGCAACAACTTACACTGTACGCTGGCGCATACTCATGCTGCTGCTGCTGCTGCTGCAGTTGCTGCTGCAGCAGCTGCTGCTGCTGTGTCTGTTGCTGCTGCTGCTGCAGCTGCTGCAGCTGCAGGAAGAACGGCCCCCAAACCGGTGCAGCGAGTGCTCGGGTGTACAGACAGTCGGGGAAGACCCCCACAACAGCAAGGAAGCTGCAGCAGCAGCAGCAACATCAGCAGCAGCAACAGACACACACAGCAGCAGCAGCCATCAGCAGCAGCAACAGGCACACACTGCGGCAGCAACAGCAGTGTATGGCAGAGAATTGCTGCTTTTCCTGCTTCTGCTGCTGCTGCTGCTGCTGCTGCTGCTGCTTTTTCTCCTGCTGCTACTCATGTTGTTGCTGCGGCGGGTGCTGTTGTTGCTGCTGCTGCACTTGCTCCTGCCACTGCTGTTGTTGTTGCTGCACCTGCTGCTTCCAGGCTGCAGCAGCAAACGAAGCCTTCACCTACCGCAGCAGAGCAGCAATCTCCTCAGCAGTCCATGTAGCGCTCGTCATATACCTCGCAGCAGCAGCAGCAACACCACTAGGTGCAGCAGCAGGAGGTGCAGCAGCATCAGCAGCAGGGATGCGTAGGGCGATGCCTTCAACAACTGCAGCAAGGAGAGGATCGCCTGCCGATACACCCAAATGGCTTAAGGCGACAACCTGCATACACCTCAAGTACCGCAGCAGCAGCACGTGTTGCAGCAGCAGCAGCAACAGCAGCAGCTCTTCACAAGCAATCAGCAGCAAACGCTCTCAGCCGCGACGGCGCTAGCAGCAGCTGCAGCAGCAAGAGCGATACCACCCGCAGCAATCGTCCCGTCAGCAGCTGCAGCAGCGCAACTTTTGCAGCAGCAGCAGCTATTGCAGCAGCAGCAACTACTGCAGCAGCAGCAGCAGCAGCAGCAGCAGCAGCACTTACAAGTCTGAAGAGCTGCATTTTGCTGCTTCCCTGAATCCAGAAGCTGCTGTGTCTTCTTGCTGCTGCCAGCAGCAACGCAACTGTGGGGCCCCCCCTCAGCCCCAGCTGCTGCGCTGCATGCAGCAGCCGCAGACAAACGTCAGCAGAGAAATCCGATACCCTGCAGCAGCAGCAGCAGCAGCAGCAGCAGAAGCAGCAGCACATGAGTACATGCACACAAGCGCTCAGGAGGCAAAAGAGCTCTGCACTTTCACAACAAGTGATATCTATAAGTTGCTGCTGCTGCTGCTGTTGCTGCTGCTGTTGCTGCTGCTGTTGCTGCTTACCTGTGCCTGGAGAGAAACCTGAAGAAGCGCTGCAGCAGCAGCGCCGCCTCAGCAGCAGAAAAACCATCTGTCCCCCTCATAGCAGCAAACGCATGCAGCGATAATGAAACCCAGCGCAACCGTTCTGATGCTGCAGCAGCAGCAGCAGCAGCAAAAGCTGCAGCTTCCCGTTGCTGCTGCAGCGCCTGTCCACCTCCACCCCACACTTGCTGCTGCTGCTGCTGAAACTGCTGCTGCTGCTGAAACTGCTGCTGCTGCTGAAACTGCTGCTGCTGCTGCTTCCACTGCAGCTCATCCTGCACAGCAGCACGAAACAGCAGGGCTGCTGCTGCTGCTGCTGCTCCTCTCCAAGATAGCGGCTGCTGCTGCAGTCGTTGGCGCG